CTTGGGAGGTAGAGGCAGGTGGATCTCTATGTGTTCGAGTCCAGCCTGGGCTACAAAGTGAGTTCCAGAATAGTCAACACTACATAGTGAAATCCTGTCTCAGACAAAAAACAAAAAAACAAAAACCAAAAAACCAAAAAAAAGAACCTATCATCAGAAACGAATACTGCTACTGCAACCATGTATTTTCAGGACTGCGCACTTCTCAGCATTCTTATCTGACGTTTTGCTTTTTTACTTTGAAAAATTGGGAATTTGAGGATTAGGTTTCAACCCATAAATCTGGGAGAATACATGGTAGCTCATGTCTGTAGTCTCGGCTATTGAGGATTGCATGAACCAAGGAATTCAAAGATAGCTGACAACACAGTGAGACCCTGTTTATTATAAAAACAGTGCACACCCCACTGTGTTCATAGCACATTTGATCTAGTATTTAGTTCACCACAGTCATCTGAATTTCAATTAGTCTTTTTTGCAAAAATATTATTTTAATCCACTACTTCTCTTGTTCTGATCTTGACTCTTAAAGGGTTTACCACGAAACTTAATTAAACAAACATTTAAATTTTTATTTAAACAAACTTAAATTTGTCATCTTGGAAAAGTTATTTAATTTTCAAACTTCAGTGCCTTTGTGAAATGTTGATATGTAAAGATTGATATTACAAGGTTTGTATAGTTTTAAAAAGTGTATATATAAGTGGTTAGCATAATACACAGCACATAGCAGGCATTCAACAGATAGAAGTCATCAGCTTTTCTGGTATTTTTCAGAACTACATAAACTTCATTATTATAACACAGCTGGACCGACTTGGCCAGGGTGGGAAGAGAAATCTGCACATGTAAGCACTGAGGAAGCACACAACTCTGACACAGCCATATTCTTGTTTGTTACCTTAAAAAATGTACAGATTCTTGTCCCCCATATCTATGCATTTGGCCTTCTCCTCTAGCAATTCTGTGTGTATATGTGGGAGGTCGAGACAGGGTCTCATTCACTTTGTAGCCTTAGCTGTCCTGGAACTCTTCTGTAGACCAGGATGGCCTTGAACTCAGAGATCTGCCTGCCTCTGCTTCTCCAGGTGCTGGGATTAAATGGTGTGCCCCACCACGTCCGGCTAAATATTATTTATTTATTTAATATCTATGAGTGTTTTGTCTATGTCTGCATACCACAGGAGATACCAGATCCCATGTAACTGGTTATAGATGGTTGTAAGCTACCATGTGGGTGCTAGGAATTGAACCCAGGACCTCTGGAAGAGCAGTCACTGCTCTTACCCACTGAGCCATCTCTCCAGGCCCCAGGCAACATTTAACTAGAACAATGCATTTTAAGTTCTTCAAAAGCTTTTAAGAAGCAGCTAAGTATGGTGGTACATTCCTTAATCTCAGCACTCCAGAGGCAAAAACAGATTTCTGAATTTGAGGCCAACTTGGTCTACATAGTGAGATCTTACTTTAAAAACGAAAAACAAAACAAAACAAAACAAAACAAAAAAAAACCACTTTCTTTTAAAGAACCTGGTTAAACACTGAACACTCAATCTCTATATAATCTTGCTCTTCTTTCTCTAGCAAATCTTTGTATGAATAACTCTTCCTCTTATACACTGGTTTCAAATCCCTAAAAAACTTACTGCCAGAGTTTGGAAGCATCAGATCCTAAGTAGACAAACTGGCCAGAATATATGTAAGGGATACTCTACATCCTCACCTTAGCACCTCTAAGACTTGAATCAAAGCCACCACTACACAACCATAGCAGCTCTTAACGTTTAGTTCATGTCAGCCATTCCCCGACTGATTTGTATCGGTTTATTAAATTTCTTTTATTAGTTTTTGCGTCCAACATCAGCTTTTCTTCAACTACATCACTAAGTAAATGCTCAACAAAATGGATTCAAAGAAAGTACTGCTGTTTCTAATTCCTCAGTGAAGTATCATCTCACTTTGTTCTTATGTTCTCACTTTTTCAAAACCAATTTCTCCCTCGTGGACTTCCCCCAATTCCCATGACACCAAAAAGACCATTTATTTGTTTCCCAAGACTGTAAGGCTTCTAGAGCTTAAAGGTACTTTCCAGGATCATCCTGTCTTGCCCAACTGTCTTTTGTAACCAAACAGGAAATTAAAAAAAAAAAAAGGTTTAGTTATATACCAGACTATATGGTTCATACACAATTTATCTGAGAGTAGAACTTAATTATTATAAATGCAATATAAACTTTTATTTTGTACGTCTGTTCATCCATCTACGAGATAAATTAAGATTTATAATTGTTTTTATCTAAGAAGATAAACACTATAATTTTTGTTTTCAAAGCATCTTAGCTACCAAACAAAACACGTACTCCTGTTTTCTCTATTTTTCAACTCTATATAATTGGGTGAATGAATAACCTGTCTCTACTCTGACAACGTGCCTAGAAAAACAAACATGAGTGTAACAAGAATCGAGGAAAGAAATACTTTATTTACAAAACTAAAATCTTAGCCCTTGGACTACAGATGCAGTTAGGATTAACTGTTAAATTCCTAAGACCCAGTACAGAGAACAACTTTGTCGCTTTATTTATAAGCTGATATGCGGAATCACTTTTCAAGAACATATGCTTTATATATATATATTATCCTTTAATACCATTTCTGGTTTATTTATAATTACCACTTACACTGGGCATGGTGGTACATGCCTTTAATCCCAGTACTTGAGAGGCATGGACAGGTGGATCTCTGTGAGTTTAAGGCCAGCAAAGCAAGTTCTAGGACAGCCAGGGACACATAAATAAACTATGTCTCAGAAATAAAGTAATTACTACTTACGACCATACCTAGATATGAAACCTACCTACATTATTAATAAACAAAGACTATCATTTTACTCTCTACCAGATTCTGCAAGTGTTAATATTTTGTACAAAATTTTAAATGATTATACTGTTTGTTCATTAATTTTGGTATGTGTGTGTGCATGCATGTGTACATGAATATGTTGAAGTCAGAGAACAATTTGTAAGAATCAGGTCTTTCCTTCTACCATGTGGTTCTAGGGATGGAATTTGGGTTGTCAGGTGTGATGGCAAGTGCCAAACAATTTTGCCAGCCCACTGAGCTGATTTTTGTACCGTTTGCATTCGATCCTTCATAAAAATGTGTTCAGCAATTAATGAATAAAGAACTGAGTGAAACCTCTGTTGGTAATGCACTTGCCTCACAAGCACAAGAACCTTGGCTGGATCCCCAGAACCCATATTAAAAAAAAAAAAAAAAAAAAGTTTAAACAAATCACCAAGTGTGGTAACTTTATCTTATAACCCTGTGCAGAGGAAGCAGAAAAGTATTGCTGCGGCTTAAGCCAGCCAGTGTAGCCCACTGAGTGTGTGCCTAAGCTCCAGACCAACCAGGGAACTTCTCTCCCTGAAAGACCTTCATGTCCTGAGGCTATCCTTTGGCCTCTATACTATACATGTACTCACAGGCACACAGGTATACACAAACATACATGCACACACACACACATTTAAAAGAAAATTAACTTTAAAACTGAAACCTCAAAGATCTAAAAAATGTATCTGCTCTCTAAAAAAGTAAATAGGAGTTAAAAGAGATATTCCAGAAGAAATGAGTTAGCCATCAAAGCTAAGTAAACAAAGGAGCCCCCATACTACAATGACTACATTCTTTTCCAACAAAGTGCTCACTCCTTTGTTTTGTCCTTTCTCTTGGAATCTCTCATTAGGTTACTCTTTGTTTCCTTAGGCTTCTTGTATATAAGAGACTTCTAGGATAATTTTTTTCTTTCCTTTTGTAGATACTTGACAAATATTTAAAGAGATCCAATCAAGCACACTATTATCATAAACATGCCTAGAGCAGAGCTAAATTAGTATAGCACTTTACTTATAAGTACTTGTAATTTAAATATTATCTTGACATTATTTCAACGAAGCTTAAGTAAAATCTAGTGAAACAATGGGAAAAAAACAAACAAACGAAAAAAGCTAAGTTACAACCCTGACTTACAGTTTACAACTGACATATTTCACTTCAAATGTCCACTTTAGGTTGTGTTATTAAACTACAAATATATATGTATACATATAATTTTATATCCAAATCATGTATATCCTCTCCCTATTTATTAAGCACTCAAGTTGAAACACTTTAAAATTGTTTCCCACATCAAACTAATAGCACTGAAAATATTACCAGTCATTTACCTTGTATTACATAAACAGCAAAAAGTACCAGCTTACATAAACCTACTGAGTTCTTTCCATATAGTTTTCCTCTTAATTCATGAAAGGAAAAACAAATTCCAATTCAAAATCTGAAACAAAAAAACTATGGACTTAATAAACAAGAATAACTTACTGAAAAAATCTTTTAAGACGTTTAACCAATCCATTTTGAATAAAAATTCTGTGTTCTCTTTCCAAAGTTTGTTGACACAGCTCCGGAATAATTCCAGTGAGCTTCCTGGTCTGCTCTGTAACACTGAAACTTCCCACACCCAATCCATGTGACCTGGCCCACACCCAAGCAATAGAAAACTTTTTAAAACTGAGGCTTCTCTTTTTCCAATACTGTTTCCCCTTAAATCATAAAACAACCTATAGAACAAGTAACTCATGGTGGCAGCAAAAAGTGAGTAAAAATTCACTCATTTAAAAAAATTATTAAAGCTGGTACATTTCTACCAGTTAAAAATGTACGTACACATTCTTTCTTCCCTACCTCCTCATCCTTAACTCCTAAACAATGTCTCCACTAGCTTAGCTATTGTGAAACATGGGGTGCAGAAACACTGTGAAAGGGGAGTGGTAATCTGATACAAATATTCACATGACTATTTAGATCAAAGACCACTAATTTAATACAACATTTCCAAACTCTGGGGAATGTGGACAGCCACAATTGTACTATTATAAGTACGCTTAGTCTGAAACTAGGCAAAATTGGGAACATAGAATATCACATTAAAAAGAGTGCTGCATATTTTTTGTATGCCTTGTCCCAAGTTTCTACCTCTGCAATGAACCAAAAACAAATCCTTTCCTCCCCAGAAGCCTGTGTGAAGCACATTTTGGGCAAATCTTCCCCCCAGCCCCCGCCCAGGCTGTAGGGCTGCACCAGGCCTGCAGCTACACCTCTGCCCTGTAATTGAGATGCAGACACGGGAACCTACTTTATCAGACACTTTAGATTTTGCAAATTTATAAATTCAACTTAGAATATGATCTTCTCTAGTCAAAACTGTAGATTCACTGTGACTACAAGTTTGAAAATTAGTCAACAATCAAGATTGTCCTAATAAGATGTGAAGTCATTTTAAACTAAAATTTACATCTAATTATTAAGTAGCAATATTTGAAATAAAACACTAATAATGCATTTTGTAAAAAAATAAAAGTTACCCAAGGTTCCCCAAAATGCCATGTTAACTGCGGATATCAAAATATCCTGAGTACACCAGAAATGTCTTAGTGTACAAACTGAAAGTCCAATACTTCATGAAGTTCTTTGAATTGAATTATATTTTAACTTTTGCAGTTTAGAATAGTTAAAAATATAAACATTTACCTATATTGCCAACAATTACTAAAATATCAATTTGCATTAAAAATTTAAATACTTTATATTCTGGATATTAGCCCTCTGTCAGATATAGGGCTGGTGAAGATCCTTTCCCAGTCTGTAGCTGTCGTTTTGTTCTGATGACAGCGTCCTTTGCTTTACAGAAACTTTTCAGTTTCATGAGGTCCCATTTGTTGATCTTAGAGCCTGTGCTGCTGGTGTTCTATTGTGCCAATGAGCTCAAGGTTATTCCCCACTTCTTCTAACAGGTTTGGTGTGTCTGGTTTTATACTGAGGTCTTTGATCCACTTGGACTTAGTTTTGTGCAGGGTGATAAGTATAGATCTATTTGCATTTTTCTACATGTAGATATCCAGTTAGACCAGCACCATTTGTTGAAGATGCTACCAGAATCTGGAAACAACCCAGATATCCCTCAACTGAGGAATGGATACAGACATTGTGGTACATTTACACAATGTTGTATTACTCAGCAATTATAAACAAGGAAATCACGAAATTTGCAGGCAAATGGTGGGAACTAGAAAAGATCATCCTGAGTGAGGTATCCAGAAGCAGAAAGCCACACATGGTATATACTCATTTATAAGTGGATATTAGACATATAATACAGGATAAACATACTAAAATCTATACACCTAAAGAAGCTAAGCAAGGAGGACCCTGGGTAAGATGTTCAATCCTCATTCAGAAAGGCAAACGGGATGGACAC